TGTGTGTGTGTGTGTTTTGGGGGTCCTCTAGGTTACGTGCGCTTCAGGAAGGAGTATCCTGAGCTGTTTGAGAACCTGACCCCTGAGGCAGTCCGCAGCACCATCGAGGCGGGTTACCCTGTGGTTCTGCCCAGCAGGGACAAGTACGGCCGTGTAGTCCTGCTCTTCAACATCGAGAACTGGGACCTGGAGGAGATCACATTCGATGAGGTAGCTGTAAAGCAAGCTCACAGAGCACAGCTGCACCTCTTTGACACCAGAAATATTACAGAACAAATTATTACAAAAGTGGCATTTTGCAACTTTTCATCTTATAAGTACTCGATGACCTCACCTAAATCCCAGCAGAGCTTCACACAGGTTAGAGTAGGTCTAATCAGCAACATAACTTGCTTTCATCTTTAACAATGCCTCATAATGAACAAGTTTCAGGGATGGATCTTGAAACATATTCATGGGGTGACAAGAGAGTGGCATGGAGACTTCAAGGTCTGGCAGAAATATATAAAAATTTAATCAGAAACAATCACATGCATCAATATATGTTTGGAAAAAACCCCAAATTAAGATATTTTAACTCAAAACATTACATTATTGTGGTACATTAGGAAAGCATTGAATAGCAATATCTTAATGTGGCATTAGAAACCAAGACATTGTTTTATTTGCAAGTCTTCAGACATTTTTCCAAGAACATATTTTTTCACTGAACTTATTTTATTTACTTATTTAAAAAAAAAATCTATCTAAATTAATCTGTTAAATTTGACTGCATTTGACACCAAACTGGGATGACAAGACATTTTCTAGGAGTGCCACCCCTCTAGATTTGCCCCTGACAAGTTTATAATATGTCTTGAATGCATATTCAATTCAAAATACTTAATTTGTCCCTCAAGGGGCAACTTGCATGCCTCAAATGCCCCCTCGAATTAAGTACACATACAAAGCATATAAAATTAAAGTACGTAGTAATTAAAGCTGTCAAACAAATGTAGAGGAGTAGAAAGTACAATATATCCCTGTGGCATTGAAGTATGAAGTAGCATTTATTAGATATACTTTAGCAAAGACGTTCCAAATCGTACTTAAGTGCAGCACTTGAGTGAATACTCTTGAAAACAAGTCTTTGTGTGTGTGCGTGTCACAGATCTTAAGAGCATACTGCGTGATCTTGGAGAAGTTGCTCGAGAATGAAGAAACCCAGATTAATGGCTTTGTCCTGATTGAGAATTTCAAGGGCTTCACCATGCAGCACGCCTCAGGAATTAAACCCGCTGAGCTCAAGAAGATGGTGGACATGCTGCAGGTCAGGGCAGACTCAAAACTAAAAACTGGGAATTTCTTGAGGTGCATCCTTCTGAGCTGCTTTTTCTATTTTCAAATCTTTTGCTGTTTTCTTGTTCAGGACTCTTTCCCTGCACGTTTCAAGGCGGTCCATGTCACTCACCAGCCCTGGTACTTCACCACTACATACAACGTGGTCAAACCCTTCATGAAGAGCAAGTTGCTGGAGAGGGTATGGATGGAGGACAGTTGCTATAATCTAAATCCAACATTCAGTTCGTTTGTGATCTCCTCTGAATACTTTTCATAACTTTCCCCAGGTCTTTGTTCACGGTGACGAGCTGGACAACTACATCAAAGAATTTGATGCGGACATCCTGCCTGCAGATTTTGATGGGAAGGCCTCTGTTACTGACTGCCAGGCCATTGCCACCAAGCTTTTTGGCTCTGAAGACACTGCTCTCTGAAAGAACAGTCCTCCCATTTCAAAGAGTTATAGTGTCCTTCACCCTAGATGCTTCTTTCATGATCAGATCAAATATGTGGTCTGTTTTGAAGCTAGGTTGACATTTTTATTATTATTCATTCAGCTCATATGAGCAAGAAGAAGTATCTAGAGTTAGGAGCAGGGGATGGTTTGCAAATATATGGTGATATAAATGGGAAAGAAAAAGGATGTTTAGATATTACAGAGAGAATATTGATGGTTAATGTTTGTTATATTACAGCGCTGACATTCCTCGTCACATGACATGCGAAGGGAAAATGAGGGAGTTGATTATGTGATGATGAAGCTCACATCCAGAATGAGTCCGTCTGGTTTGTCTGGAGTTCTTCGCCTTAAGAATTAATATCACAACATACACAACAGCCTTGTGCCTACAATCCTGTCAGATAAATGAGTACAGAAGTGTATCGCAGCCTTGGGGGTGAATCTTTAGAGAGATGTGAAGAGGGAAAACTGATTATGGATAAGCCTGCATTTGATTAATGTTTAAGGAGCAGGAGCCTCCTGATGCAGTGCCATGGAAACAGTTGTTTGTCTCAACAGCCTTGTTTTAAGTTGTGACACTCAGATGCCTGATGTACCACAAAGATCCATTTTGTGATTTGCATTGGATTGAGACATTTTTAATTAAATAGATTTTTTTGCTGTGTCCGTAGTTTTAATATGCATTGTCATTTTTATTTGTGTTCCTGTTCTTTCATCTAACCTGATGACACAAGATTTCCACATAAACCAAGAAATCAGAAATCAAGAAATCAGGTTTATTTTCAGCTGGTTCTGTTTCATAAAAGATGTTTAAATGGTTCAGACCTACGTTACTATGGAAACCTCCAGACCGGTGGTGGAAGAAGTAAATACTACTCCAATTAAAAATTGTACTTAAAGCTCCAGTGTTTTAATATTTAGGAGGATGTATTGGCAGAAATATAATAATATAATATTCATAGGTATGTTTTCATTAGTGTTTAATCACCTGAATATAAGAATCTTTGTGATTTCGTTACCTTAGAATGAGACTCTACAGAGGGAGCCTAACCACCATGTTTCTACGGTAGCCCAATAGGGACAAACCCAAAACAGGGTCTAGATAGGCAGTCACCATCGATTCTCCTATGTGCTCGGAAGGGGAGGGTGAAGCGAGGGGGTAACAATGTGCAACTACACCGCTAGATGCCACCAAATCCTACACATTGGTCTTTTAAGTAAAATAAAAGGTTTTAGAATCATAATAAGATGTTTTTACTAAAAGTAACTCATCATGAAGAGTGGTCCATTTCAGAATACTGTGAGGTATTTAATTGGATAATAATCTTTGATCAATCAATCAGACTTTATTTAGATAACACTTTTCATACAAGTAAACTGACTGATTAAAAAAATAAAATAATAATAATAAAATAATTTTAATGAATTTATATCCAGCTGTGTATCTTATGTAACTATTCTATTATATCTATATGTTGAGAATATTTTCTAATAATAGTCTTAATCTGTAAGGTAACTAGTAATGAAATATATGTAGTGAATGAAATGTAGTGGAGTACAACAACTAAAAAGTTTTTAAAAAAAATGTAAATACAGTACCAGTACCTCAAAACTGTAGTTACAATACTTGAGTAACTACTGGTACTTTACTTCCTACCTCGGCTCCAGATGATGGTGCAGTTTTCAGGGTTAACCAGTGTTACAATGAATTTGCCAGACTGAAACACATAATTTACTCCAAAGTTCCTCCCTGAAAGTTACTCAAATATGCCACATAGAGATAAGAAACCCAAGGCTGTAATCTCACAGTAGCATTTTCACCCAGCCTGACCTTTAGATCGTCTAGAAACAGATAGCCTATCTAAAAAGGTATTTAAACTATGTGGAGGCCGTCACTTGTACAAACTAAAAACATAACTAAGAGCTTACAATGCAGTCACGACAACAGAGCTCAACGGTTATACATATTAAAAGGTCCATGTTCTTTTATCCCATAAGCAGTGTTATAGCAGTGGTATAAATCTTGATATTAAACAGCTTCTTCTACATCATGAGTTTAAAAGAATCTAACTGCCAAGTAAAAAGGAAAGAAAGCAGGTTTTCTTTTGAGAAAATAATTTATTTTGGAACACAATAACCATATTTCCTCACATAACTAGATCACACACACCACTGGTTTTCTTCAACAAAAACACCCAGTGTTCAATATCAGAGTACATCATGTTGTGTGACTATGTGTGCCCCTTCGAGTCGTCACCACACCCCTTACAGTCTTTCAGCATCAAAATATTTGTATATTATTTGTGTAAAATTAAAGCTGTATAATGATTACTGCGGGTTAACATACTGTGGGCTCTCATCCACTTGTTTGGGCAGATAAGATTTTCAAATGAAAAAAACATTTTTAGAAGAACACAACACTGAGCAATGTTCATTCCAATCCAAGGTGTTTGGGATTCACTGACATTTAAATCACTGGAGAGGTTTATATTTAAATTCTTCTGTTTTCCAAGCAATTAAACATGAGCCCACAATCTTGAAAAACAAGATGCTTGAAGCACTGGGGTTAGGATAAATACAGCGGAGCACATTATCATATCAACACAGTAAAACAACATTTCAGATCCAACACTCCATGAGAAAATTATCTTAATGTATATGACATGTTTTGGTCTAATATACGTCAACATTGTTTCCCGTCACATTAGCATCAAAATGACAAGAGAATCCCTCCTAGTTGGTTATTGCCTTTATTTTCCATTCCTGTTCCCTTAAATATCTGAATATACACTATCTTTATATATTTCTTCATTTTTTTCCATTGTTAAAGTGAATAAGTTTTGGTTTTTGTCAATCAGAGGTGGTGATATGACACAGTATACACGTACTGTACTCAGCACTCACACTCTGATGCATTTGCACAAGCAAATAACAAAGAAATGTCATATTAACAATACAAAATACAAAAAAATACCCAAAATAATCAACTAGAAAAAAATACATCCAAATAATACATCCAAACCTGCATTTTTGTGCAAAGTTGGGTGGAGGCAAAACTCTTAAAAAGAACACAAATGGCTCTTACTGCAGAAACTGGGTTTGTGCTGGTGTCATCAATATTCATCAGATTTTTCTGCGAGCCACAATAAATTCAAACCACACCTGGTTTTATTGAAATGAGAGCTGTGGACAGAGTGAACCATGAACCGTATATCTCTATAGGTGAAAAAGAGGATGTTTGCCGTCAGTGACTGGCAGTTGTAGTTACGTCTCCCTGACAGCAGATGGCAACAGTGATTTGTGGTTTGAACAATGCAGGATGAAAAGTCTTTAGAGGCAAAGAAAGACATATCCACACTGTCCAAGTAGGCATGCACCGACCCAAACACTTTAGCAAATGGATCAGGTATCAGCCATGACGCCACATTAACTACAGTTTCACTGTCAACTTCATTATATGTTTCAGTTTAATGTCATGGTGGGCTGCTGACTTTTACAGTACATAGAAATGATTGGAATGAGTTCCACACAGTGAGGTGTACAGGTTTTAAACGTGGGAAAAAGAGGGCACTGGTATCGGATCGGTACTTCGGCAGATACCCTGAGTTAAGAAGGATAAAGTTGGATCGGTGAATCCCTATATTGCACATTAGCCAAGCCAGTATCGGTGAGATTAATACCTGGGTTTCACAGTATTTGCATAGAATAATCTCCCCCAAAGGAGGTTACATTTAAGCTAAATACATCTAAAAAAAAACAACAGATCTCCATAAACTGTGGTCATGAAAGAACATCCATTTTGATTTAAATAGTGATCAGAATCACTATAACAGTACTTTGACAGAAAAAAACATAACCCAGACTATTTCCAAGGACAAGAATGAGTTGCTCAAGTTTTGTGAGCGTTGCGTTTGAGTGTAAACAAAAAACGTATTTACTATATACTATATTATTGAGCATTTCATAGTTCTAATATTCTGCACACTTCTATTATTGACAGTGTGTGCCATTATACAAACTGTCCTGATATGCAAAACTTCCCTCAACTTAATGTAAATGCTACTGCTTTCAAATACTATCAAACCCAGGTCTTACAACACACAAACCTTGGCCTAAACAGCCTTACAAGAAGTGCTGTTGTTAATCACTGCGTATCCCTTCATCACTTCAAACCATCCATCTGTCTCATCACAGTGTTTAGCAGACTACAGATTACTTGGCTGGACTGGAAAAAGCTTCCTAAGCCCTTACAAAAAGGTTCGCAAACAATTTCTCAATTAGATTCAGGTTTTGAAAAGTCCACAGGTCCCATTATTGCAGTATGCTTTCATCAAGACACATCTGAGATGGATTTCAGCAGTTTTTTTCGACCCTGCTGCGTTGCAACTTTAACACTCAGCCCAGTGAAGAAAAAAAAGAAAAGCTTTTCACTGCTGTCTATGAAACAAAAAATATTCCCTTGCATCAAAATCTCTCTCTTCTTTCTTGCATGCAGTGCCCTCCATCTAATTATACAATAGAACAATCAACAGTATTTTACAAACAATCCACTAAAATAAACATTTGGTTTAGAGTTGGTATCCTCTGCCCTCCCACTCATCACACCTCACAGCTCAGATAATTAAGAGAAAATCTGCTTTGCACTGCTGAACTTTCCCTTTAAAAACAGCACCACAATGGCCAATGAGTCCGCTGCATTTTCAAAATCGTCTGTTAGAAAATGTAATGAGATGTTTGCACCAATGAGGTTGAGCTCAAAGGCTAGCCAGTGGCAGGTCTGTGTCTGTGCAGTAAGAGAGCGATATCAGAGTCTTGGCTGGACCAGCAGCTGATCAAAGGCAGATGAAAGAGTAAGAGGGCTCAAAGACACGGACAAAAGACAACACAGGGAACACTTGAGTCATCTAACTTTTCGTCATCATCCCTGCTCCCGTCAGTTCTTCCTCTCGGTCACAAGGAGAGCTAAACCACCAATAACCTCCATACCTGCGCGTTGACTAATGAGGAAAATAAAATGATTGTGTCATACACGGTGTAAAGTGCCTTGAATCAAAGTGATAGAATGCAACTGTGGAAATGTGCATGGAGCCCCTTTGGGGTTGATCCCTGGTCATGTGTGGTCGGCACTGAACATTTTCATTTCAAGTGCCGAACATACGTGCTGGGGGGATGTTATGAGCTGGAAATAATGTCTAATATCCCACAATAATACTTAATTTATCTACTGTACATTTTCTACAAACAACAGAGCAACGGTTCATCCAAAGGAACAGACATCGTAAGGGCAGATAGACCATGAACAGAGAAATTGAATCACACCTACCAAACACAAAGATCTCCTGCTCGGTCATGGGTCTTTAAACTCTCGGTCGACACAGGCGCACACAGACATACACACTACATCTGTGAGTTACATACATACTACAAAGACGCTGTGTTGGTTAAGACAGCAGACTAGGCTATATGGCCTTGGCGGTGATAAGCAGTGAGCTTCTTACAGGTGCTGCAAATGGGCACCGACTGCAGCACAGTCCTTGTTTACACTAATAGGAGGCTTCTTGTGTGCTCTTGTTTTTCACTGGACTACTCTAAAGTGGTGCTCTCACTTTCTTTATAATTCCAGCTTGACTTCATCTCTCGTCATATTTGGTCAACGCCTCCGTTAGCCAAGGATCATTGTCGTGTACACGAAGAGAAACAAAATGTTCCTGCTTTGAATTCAAAGTCCTCGCAACGGAAAAGAGCACAAAGGCAGTTAGTTGTTTTTGTTTTCCGTCACATACTGTAAGGTGATGGTGATTACAAAGGGGAACTGTGGTAAAGGCATGAAGACGTGTGAATGGTAAGTGTGGGTCAGGAACGGTGAGTAGCACCAGAGGAGAAGGCAGAGAAGAGAGAGCAGTTTAAGGTTTAGTTCAGGTGTCTCCTCAGTGCTGGGACAGTGGGGTTGGAGAGAGTGAGAGGGGAGAGGAAGAGTGAGACAGATACAGAGGTCAGAAGTTTAAGCTTTTTTCTCTGCGCAGGAGCTCTCACTCGGGTGTGCACTTTGGCACGGCGGTTTCTGTTTCTCCCACTGGCACATCGCATTGGCGTAACCCACAATCACTTTGTCCATCCAGGTGAGCGGCTGGGGGAAGAGCACCGCACCCTCGAAGAAGCCCAGGTGGCCTCCGTGTAGCGTCAGGGAAAAGATCACATTCGGCTTCTTTGCTAAAGGATGACACATCACACAGTAATTAGGCTTGTGCACGGTGTGCACTCATTAGTATCTCAAAACCAACACTGGACATGTCCAAATATGGGCTGGCCAGGGATTATTTTATACCTGTTATAGATAGCATGGGCGTGTTTGCATGGTCAAACAGATAACAGCATGACTCAACTTCTGGTAGGTATGATTAAGTGCTAACTACCAGAGTTGAAAGTTTGAGCCAATCAACAGGTTGCTGAAGATGCAGTTTCTCTAATGTCCACCAAAAAAACTGAGACTTTAGGAAATGAAAAAAAACATTCCTTCTTGAACTAAAAAAATCAGTAAAGTGTTTTCAGTGTTCTCCAAAATGAGGCTCTGAATGGTTAATTTAGTCCTTCCAATGTGTAATTGAGGCAGGTTTGGCTTGACTGACAGGTCTCTCAGGGCTCTCACACTCTGCCTTTTACTTGCTCGGCTGCCACAATATTGCCAAATGTGTAGACATGCCTGTGCATGACCTTGTGTAGAAAACAAGGTCCATAAAATGTTCTGCTGTGAAAGAACTTCAGTGCTTTGCACAGTGCACTGACCTGTACCACATCAAACTCTTTTAGAGTGAGCTGGAACATTGACTTATTGCCCAACATCAGTGTTGGACTTCACTAATGCTCTTAATGGCTGAATGGGAGCAAATCCCTGCAGCCAGGTTTCAATGTTATGAAAACCCTCCCAGAGGAGTGAAGGGGGTTATCACAGCACATTAATGCTTGTGGTTCTGGAATGACATGTTCAATAATCATATGAGTGTAACGTTAAGGTGTCCACATACTTTTGGCCATGTGGTGTATTACAACTGACAACGACGGGGGACTGAGTGTTACTACCACCAGGTTCAATACCAAGAGGGAACCAACGGGTTGTTGACTGATAGCTACATCTGGGGTTTTTTCTACGCTATAAATATGGTAAGAAATCCATTCATTTACTTGAAACCTTGGACTCAAAGTGGCATCATCCCCCACACTGCAGACAACATTAATCTAATGCAGCTGAGGACAAGTAGGCATTGTGGCCTCTTAAAATGATTTGCCTGGATCTCTTTATTTTCCTGTTCTTATTTGGGTTAGTAGGTGAGCCTGATGTGGTTGACTAGTGATTAAGATCCCTCAGGACTTTCACCACTGTGCACTTTTCTTGACAGCAGCTGAGCTGCACTGGGACAACTGTGTGTTTTGTCCAGAGCCAGAGCCACCGTCTCAATGGGCACTGAGAGACAGGTGGGAACAGAAACTACTAAAAAACGCTTACTGTGACATGATTGTAACAAACTGTGGTTTCAAGGTTTTGTTTCACTGCATAAAACCTTTTTTTCTGTTGCTACAGTCATACTTTACTTACTTTTTTTTTAAACTTACTAACACTGTATCACATCCACATTCAGTACAACTACAAATCAGAGGTGAGTACAGACCAAATGTAAGACTGTTACTTCCCCATAACTGACTTAATAGTATGATGTAAACCTTCTTATCAAACATCCTTAATCTAAGCTAATTAAAGCACCAACACAGCGAGTGTACTTCTGTTGAGTCCTTTCCTGGTCGTCGTGTCTGTGACTCACAGTATCACATTTTAGGGCAAAGGGTCAGCTGATCCTCTATTCAGTAAGTGTTACTCTCTAGAGAGAAATAGAACCAGAGTTGCATGTACTTCCAGTCAGGACTCAACCACACACACACACACACAACACACCCACACACACACACACACAACACACACACACACACACACACACACACACACACACCACACACACACACACACACAACACCACACACAACACACCACACACACACACACACACACACACACACCCTTACATGTGGGATTTTCTGTTTACAAAAAAAGTGGTCACTAAGTTTAAATATAGCACAGGCTGAGTTAAAGCAAAGCTTGATAAACACTATGTAATGTGAAAGCAGTTAAAGAGTAGCTTGCCTCTTCTTGTTTGTAAAATGAGGTTCAAACAATCCAGATCCACTCTATGTTCAAATCTTTAATGTTGGGAACCTGTGAAAACTCACTTTATATAGAGGGACACTATATTTGTATGTGTGTGAGTGAGTGTTACAGCTGCTGTAACACATCAAAAGACATTACTCATAGCCTTGACCTCCGTGCCACACCCTGTCCTGTTCAGGGTGCAGAGCCAACTCATCAGAAGGCCTTCAAAGATTGCAGACATTTTTTCTAAGAAACAAAACTGCAGACACTAGTCAGAGAGGAAAAGCCTGTTAAATAAATAAATAAATAAATAAATAAAACTCAATTGTTGAGTCAATAGAGGACCAACTGTAAAAATGCCACGATACGTCTGCAGATACATCTAGTACTAAACCCTAGTACAGAGCTGCACTGTACTGAGCCACATTCAGACTATTACTTTTGGTTTATAATATTTATTTAGAAATCTGGGAATTTGTCTGCAGTATCAAATATTCAGTAGAACTGAGTATTATTATTTTTTCAGATCTGATAGAAAAATAAGAATAACTTCTAGTAACTGTTTTGCAGCATATTCTGCAGCTTTTAAAAATGTTATCCCCTTTTTTCCTTCACTTTATATTAGTGGAAGCAATTTGTGAGCTGTCCTTGCCAGTTTACTTTGAATTACACTGACCAGCATTTTCTTGCCACTGGAAACAGAGCTCCCTTTTCTTTTTGTGAAAAAATTAAAAAAAGAATACATCAGGGTATTATTTATTTTAGCTGGTTTGGGACCAGTTTGTCCCTATTACTGAAATGTGAGTAGAATCATATGAAATATCAGAAACTCAGTGTTCAAATGATCAATTAAATGGTCAATAAAAGATAAGAACAATCTCAAAACTGATGGTGAAAATGGTGAAAATGGCTTGCAAATGTGACAAATCTTTTTAGGGTTTGGTACTGCTGTCATGACACATGCTGCTATGTTACCTGCTAGTGTGCGAGGGATGGTGAGCAGTGAATCATGAACCAGAGGATCATCTGCAGAGTTCACTAGCAGCAGTGGCACCTTTACCTGGAAATAAAAAATAATACATCAAACAAACAGAGCAAAAAGAGAAACATAATATGAGATCATGTGAGATATATGCAAAAGTAGATCTTACATTGTGAATATAATGTACACAACTCTCCTTCTCATAGTACTCTTTGAGAGAGCTGTGGCCGTGGAATTTTCTGTTGAAACCCAAAAAAAGGAAGTGTCATTAAATTATCCCACTTAACAAATACATTGCAGTTATTTTACATTCTCGCCACTGATGAATGGATCAGGTGAAATACAGATAAGGAGATTCAAAAACACAGATCTGTAATCTACCATATCAAAACAATACAGAGGACTGTGACTGTCATACCTCATGATGTTGTCGTCGATCTGCATGAGGGATGTCGCTGTGTACAGCCGACTAAGATCTGCGTCTATCTTTTTAACTGAGCTCCCCGCAAACAAACTGTGCCTGTAACATGTAAAGATACAGACATACACAAACATTATTCATGAAAACATGTTGAAATCAGTGAAATTACTCAACCACTAGGCATGCAGTAAGGGACTAAAAGGAAATAATATGGGCGGTGAACCTTATGTTTAACTATAAAAATGCAAGACCAATATCTCCAAATAATGTATCAGTATTGGTACAACTCAGCTCACCATTAATAATTAATTGTGTCTCGCCTTTTTCTGTGAGCGGTTCCCAGCAAAAATACACAATGAAAAGGATCTGTTCATAGTCATATCGACATCATACCAGCAACGTACACCTTTCACTAGTTTCAATGTCTGTATCTGTAGAATATGTCGCAGACATGAAAAAGATATTAATATTTTTGTATTTTTTTTACTTTTAAGTGTAACTTATAGGCCTACTAAACTTAAATCATATTACTACTACTTAGTCTTAACCTGCACAGATCTTGTAACTGATCTGCTTCTATAGTCCAATATAATCTCAAAATGTCTGTGATCAAGATGCACTGAAAACCTCTTTGCTGTATCTACAGGATGAGACATGGTCTTTATGTTGAAGTTTAGGGAACTGATGTGAAGACCTTTACACTAACTATAGGAGAAACTATTTGGACTGCATGTGCAGGGCCAACAGTGATACCTGTGTGAGAGGATGATTTTCTTCATGTTGTCAGCCATGAGAAAGTTATAGAAGCGTCTGAACTGGTCCCACTGTAGGAATGTTTCCTGGGCCCTGAGAGAAAAAGACAAATGCACAGGAAGTTAGCTCTGTGCAGCCTGTCTGCATTCCAAACAACACACTAAATGTCCTGTTTAATCCACTGGACAAAGAGTCACGCTGGTGGAGAGAGTAGAGCAATGGTGTCAGGCATTAGTATGCAGCTCACTGGCAGAGACAGACTAAACCAACACAACATCTAAAAGATATTTAACAAAGTACTTAACATTAGGTACAAATTATTAATTTCCCTTTTGGCATTTCAATACCATTTGAGGTCAAGTATGATTTATTATTCACAGTTTATTTGCGGAGAAGAGTGATAGCTACAGCTCTCAGGGACCCTGACAGAAGGGCCTGATTAAGTTTGGACACTGATTTGAAAAGAGAATCCATTAAAGGGAGAAACCTCCCCTGCAAATTCAACTTCACAAAAGACCAGTCTCTACAACACACCCTTCCCTACTGCCTACATCCAAACTTTAACAGACCCAGCCTGTCATGTCTGCCAAGAGACGCTGGCTACATTTATAACACAAAAGGTGTGGCTCAGTCCAACACGAACACAGGGTGGAGAGTCTGCTCTAACACCCACATGAACTAGTGGTTGAAAAACACCATCGTAATACATTGTTTGTCCTCCATGTTTCACAAATGTGACTATGTACGCAAAATGCTTATTCTGGACATGTGAAACAGCCAGTTCACTTCATTGTACACAAACCATCAACACAACAAAGTTAAAGCAAACTGTGGAAAAAGTGACAGCATGAACTGGTGCTGAGCAGTAAACAAAACTCTGAGGCTGATCAACCTTCAGGCCCCTTTGTTTACAATGAGTCCATTGTGTCGGTTGCGTTTAAAAAAAAAAAAAAAGGTCTTCAATATGACAACTTAAAAAAAGTGCTATTTATCAATTAAAGATCAATAGTAAAAAGAATAACCGAACTATAAACAGCTGACAAAAGATGCCTGGTAGATTATATTATGCAAGCACTAATCATTTTGAGTCATTGTGCTGAGCTTAATTTATAATCAGAAATGTGTGCACATCAAGTGCCGGTGTTAGAAAGGGGCTTTGATGATACTATGCATTTTAATTAAGAGATTAGATGACAACAACCCACCTGAGAGCACTGTACCCCTGACAGACGCTGACACAACACAGCACTCGCTCCTGGTTCATTGTGTTCTCGCCCAGGAACTTACATACTATGTTTCCACCCAGACTGAAGCCCACCACGATCAGCTGAGTCTGAGGATACGTCTTCTTAATGTAGCCGACCATAGATGCAAACTCCCATGTGCACCCTGTAAGGGAAACAGTATAGTTACCAATCAATACATAACACCTCTGTAGGACGGAGCGTTTTTCTCTGCTCAGCAGTTCCAGCTGAAGGTGCCTTCAGCTCATGGTGTTAAATGTGAGTCTCTATCAGACCTTTATAAGCTCAGGTCTGAAACCTCTTATTATCTGTAACTCTTGGAGCTTTAGTAGCTCATACAGCCTTTTCGTTTTTACCTTGAAATTATGTTGTATCGAGATTTGTCTAAATGAAGGGAAATTATGATATTAGAGTGTCTTTACTAAACCAGATTACATCAAAATGAGGTCAAGGTGCCACCAAAGGACATCATTTATTTAAACACCACTCTGAATTAATGTTTCAGCTGTGCTCACTGCTATGAAAATTGCTTCTGGCCAGAGCTTCTTAAGCCTCAATCGCTAGACAATTGGATAAGAGCAGCAGACAGAGCCAAAAATTATGATGCAGTATTACAGATCATCAGACCAAATCACATCATTTTTTTATTCAAAAAACTGGGTCATCATTCCTAGATACTCCTAATATGAAAGAGTGATTCTGAGGTGATAGAGAGTAAAACTAAAGTCAGCTCTTTGCTCTCACCGTAGGTAAACATGCGCGGAGAAGTTAGCTCGATGTTGGGAAGAGCTCCCAGGTGGTTCAGCACGGCACAGCGGTAACCGTCCTTCTGGGCGTAATCCACAAAGGTTCGGATGTAATGCTTCTCACTATGGTTACCAATACCAGGGCATATCACCATGGTGATGTCATCTGGTGAAACAGACAGATGGATGGGAGAGATATTTACCAGTGAGCAATATGTAAGCACAGACAATGAGGAGAGTATGCCACTCTCCTAAACAGCACATCAGTTTATTATAAAAGGAGCAAGGCAAAGCACTGCAGCCGATCCAAAATAAAGGATTAGGCTCTTTGTCTGTCAATTATAGCTTTACAAAGAAACCAAAATGGAAATAGTAACGCTACTTTTTTGGGAATCAAATGTCATGTGAGTGTTAAGCTTTCAAAGAGGATCACAAGATCAAAGTTGAGGAGGTAGGTTCAGGGTTCAGCTGAGGCATTCAAAGAAAACTGCCTTCACACAAGTGCATTACCAACACGTTATTCCTCATTTAAATATCAATGACGTGAGTGTAACTTGTATTATTATAGCCAAACTATGTTCTATATATCTCGAGTTAAGTTTATTCATATAACCCAAATCCCAGAGGCTTTTATAATCTGTACAGCATACGGCACCCTCTCTGCCTGACCTTCGAACTGGATAAGGAACAACAAAATGTAAGAAACCTCAGGAAGATGAGCAGAGGTGGGATCCCTCTTCTAGCACAGACACCCAATAGGTGTTGCATTAACAGACTAGACAAAAGTGGCACTAGGAGAATTACAATATAAAAGAAGGAGAATAAAAAATATACAACCAAGAGCTACAAAAAACGTGAGAGTTGGTAGTTGGTAAAGAAAAAGTAGATCTAGATCAAACGCATCACCTCCTGTTCGATGGTCCCCCATTGGCTCAAACAGGTCAAAGGTCGCAGTGGCCCCGTCCTGCATGGGTAAGTACTTCCTGACTCCACTGGGGTGGGGTGAGCTCACCCGACCAAGTTTACCATACAGTGCCGTCTGGAGGTGACCGCTCTTACCCCACAGTAAGGGAGGAATGTACCTGGAAAACACAAAATTAGACACTGCTATTAAATTTGATCTAGAAATATGAGCTTATTCTACTAATGCACTCGATAGGAGCACAAGGCCCAGAAATAACACGAACGCAATGTTATCCTGAGCAGATACATTTGCATTAGTGGTTCAGGCACACAGTTTGCATACAAAGACACATTTTCTGTTGCAGCTTTCGAAAAGCTTGCTCCATGCTACCAACTGACATCAGTGTTTAACGTCAGTCTGTTGCTATGTTTTGATAAGTTATGCTGAGCATGTGTACTTGAATTCCAGTGACACCTCTGTAGGAGTTAGCTGTAGGAGTCAAGTCTTTAGATTACATAATGTTCCTTTGAAATACTGTGCCTTGTGTTGTGTATTATCATGAATCACCATCTTATTTCCACACTGAGGCCAGGAAAAACAACCTGACAGGAAAACCCTTTTAGGTTCTGTTTTTTCAGGTGCCTATCCAATCATACAAAGGAAACCCACATCAAGGCAATATTATAGTCGAGGCTAATAATAAGAGCTGTAGGGATAAAAGCCAAAACAACTGTTAATGTTTGTCTGCTTCTCGTGTAATGTCGCAGTTATAAAAAAGGTGATAAATGAATGTTTAGTTCAGGTGATCCTGTCATTTTTGACCTTTTGAAGATATTCAGGGGGGAATTCTAGATCAGAGGTTATGTTTAAGACATATTCCATCTAAAAACAAGATTTTAACAGTACAAATGGGACTTTTTCACAATGTTCAGAAATAACACAAACATTTGATTGCCTCTTTCTCACTTTCCTTCTATTATATAATATCCTAACTGGATTTTTTTTTCTTCTTCTTAGACTTGCTGACAATGAAGTGTGAAATCATCTTGGGAGGTGATGAGATAAACAGGATCAGCTTAACTGTAAACTCAAGCGCAGACACCACGTGGACACTATACAGTACACGGACCAAAACCCAGAGACAGTACACGTAGCTGCAGGAAGCAAAGGGTTTAATCAACAGTTACACAAGCCCGTCCACCTTGTTTTGCCTCATCTCTTACTGTGGCTCCAACAATTACTGTACATAGAAAATACAGTCTTACATAAGAGAACTGTCAATCAAAACGCAGACTACTTCCAAACGGCGATAATGTAATCACCTCCAGCATGCGCTGTACAGGTAGTTAAAGCTTAACCACACGTTTCTAGAAGGTACTCTGCAGGCTTAATCTACCACTACAGGAAGAGGATAACCTCATTGTTGTTATGTGGAGGATAAGCACACCGCCGGGTTAGCGGAGTTCATCCATGGGAAGCAACAGACAAACAGCTCCCTGTTGGCCTTCAGGGATTAATAAAGTCTATCTCTCTATCTCTCTATCTATCTAAATTGATACAGTTTGAAGAATCCCTATTAAACAGGCTCAATTGATACTTTTTGGACAATTCAAATTACCATAAAATACACATAATAACTGAGGAAGTTGCTCGAAAATAAGAGTTTTGTGTAGCTCAACTGATAATAATTGGAAACAGGCTTTTTTTTTAACAATTGTGTGTGACTGGTTGACATTTGTTTGAATCTGAATTACAGAGTCTGCCTTTTAGAGCCGTAAATGTCACCTTGTGATACAGTGTGTGTGTTTGCTGTTGTCTTTCATGGCTATTAGGTAACAGAAACTGGAAACAGATGCGTCAGTGTGGTTTGATGAAGCAAAGATCTAAAGTCCAGATCAAAGTCCAGAAGTAAAGGCTCGGGCTTTTGATACTAGCAAGCTGGGAAAATACCAAACCATTACCACTGGTAAGAATTAATCAAGACTTACTGACTTTATGTCTTTATTGCCCTCATTTAGGTTTCCCTTTTCTTTTGACTTTTAATTGTACTTTATTGTAACTCTGTATTTAAACTGTTCAACTATGTTTCTGCCAATGTTTTGTCTGGTACTGGTCTGTTTACCATTGGCTTTGGCCTTGATATTTACTTGAAATATCATTGCTGCTTTAACATCAAGGTCCAAAATAAAACAAGTTGTAGACTCCTTAACAATGAGCTAAACGCTTATCTGTGACTTTACATTTTTTTGTCAGATTAAACTAATAAAAAAGGTAAAAATAAAATCCTCTAGATAAAAGGAAAATTAAGCTAAAACCGCACTTGAAGAAAGAGTTATTTGTTCTGTATTGTTCTCTACGTTAGCCAAAACCCCAGCGTGCATGTTCCCAAACACAGCCAAACAAAACTGCTGTTGACTCTTGTTAACCTCACAACATCCCTCCTATGCTTTCCACTGTGTAATTGATCTCTGTTATGCAACGCCGCAGAATGTCATTATGATTTACAAACGTGACTTTTTCAACAACACAGAGACACGACCCAGATGATGCAGACACCAACATGGGCAATAAGGACAGGTTCCAGGACTTTGGTTATCCGAGTTCAACCACCCACTGGGGCATACATTTCTGTGAGAAAATACGGCAGATCAGGAGGGAATGACAACAAGCCAGACACAAATGTAAACATCAGAGTGGCCTTAAGATTCACTGACACTGCAGCTGAAAGGCAAAGGGCTCAATAACAATCGATTATATAAGCTGAAACTCGTGATGAAGGCTTGAAGAGAGCCCCCCCTACAGAGCTGAAAGTTACTCTGGAGTATTACAACACCAGGACACCAGACCACAGGACATGGACAGTGATGCTCATTAATAAAAAAATAAATTAAGTTTACTTCGTTTACGTGCAGGCAGCGGCTTTCCCACAACCTACAGGTCATTAAAGCCCAGCTGCTAACCTGGTTTAGCCTTAACAGGGAAGACCTGCCACTGCCCTGTACCAACAATGGAAGATCCAAATTATAGTAGACATCAGAGTTGCCCTGAGGGGAAGATGCGCAACACCATATATGCAAATTATTTCTTGCCCTGCAGTGAATGAGTCTATATTTGTAATGCAAGAGTGACAAACCCAGTCTACCTTTGGGATAACCCCCCCGAAAATACAGGCTGGTATTTAATTCATACTAGAGCTGGCACTGAAGCCAGACATCTCTGGCACAGACATGAGGCTCACTCAGGAACACTGATAACAGATGGGACCACTGCCAGACAAACTGCTACCCTCACTGCAGCCCCAGATGGCCGACGAGCACTACTATTTCCATGGTAATGCCTTGAATGACAGACTCATAGCTGGGAACGCTACTCACTCTTTGGTCAGTTGAGGACAGGACTTGAGAAGGAAGCGGTTCAGGGCCGTGTCCTGGTAGGTGAGGTCCGGGGGCGCAGTGGGGCTCTTGAGGTTCAAGCAGCGGACGATGATGTAGAGCACCGTGGCCACCGCTGCCAGCTTCATGCCGTCAAACATTGCTGGCAGCTCTGGAGAGATGGTGCTCACGTCTGACTCGTGGGTATTCATGATTATTCTGAAAAACAAAACAGTGGACCACATTTAAGTTTAGTGCTTTCCCCTGTGTGTACACAAATGAACCCAAAAACAAATGTGTACTCCCTGTCATTATTTAAATATTTGTCCATAAATAGCACACACTTGTACAAAACCAAACAATTCTTGAGTTAAACTGTGATTGAGTCTGAAATGGTATAAAGCACAAAAATGGCAAAGACAAATATCTGATGATATCTGACTGACCTAAATACTCCTCTTGGTGCCCAAGGCGCTGTAGCAACAGATCTGTGGGAATACAGAGTGAGAGCAATTCAGTCAGATAAAGCACAGTCAGTGATTTAAAACACACACCTTAATTACACTAAAGCTTACAAAGAGACAACGCCTTGCTTCATAGATAGATGTGCTGATATTTCTATATTTTCTATAACTATATCTTAACACATTCACTTAACAGTTACATAATGTTCAGTAAACAAAGTCTTCTGAGCTGTGAAACGACAGGAAAATAAAACAGGAACTGTAAAGAGAACAATATATCAGTATCTCTGTTATCAGGAAAAAAGGGAAGTTGCCATACAGAATTTCACAGAAGTAGACGGTGTTTTCCATCGTTACGACCCAGCGGGCAAATAAAAATACCATAAAAAGAAAACGACGCAAAACGCAAAACCAGGAACAAACCTTTTAAAGCTTTTACTTACATTTTACGCCTCCAATAACAACTTGTTCCAAAAGTCCGAAATGTGACGTCACAGTGATGCGGTCAACCTAAACACAAACACAGAAAATAACATTGGCCTCTTAAATTACTTGACCAGAATTATATTACATTTGTCCTTAAACTGGGTTGAAAGTCTCATCTAAATGTCCTCATGATCACTGCCTTCTTCTTTATAGTGTCTAAGCTGTACCAGTAAGCATGATGTCACCCGGGCGATTTAAATTAGTGATGAATGATTAGTCAGTCAATGGGTTTTGATATTGGATTAACTGCAATTTATCAAGTAAAAGCATTATTCCAAAGCTTCACTTTTATGAAGTGCACTGGTTTATTTTCGGCTGGTTGTCAGAGGTAATTAGAGATAAATCACCCACACATGCAGTCCACCTGAATGTAGTATCACTTATCACCAATATCTCTGATTTAAACCAGCTTAACAGATATCAGCAGCGGGTAAACTACTCTGTCCATATCTTCTTGTTCCTATAAAGCAATAACATGTACCCTGTTTTAGTCTACCAATCCCCTTAATACTAATATAAATCAGTAAAGCTTTTTACTGATAGCTGAAAATGTTTGCTGTATTCCTTCAGCAGTCAGGTGTTACCACCACTTTCAAAATAGCTTTTAGAAGCACTACATCTATACAAACACCACCTGTAAACAACAACTCAGCCTCCAACACAATTATGCTCAGCTGCATAAAAGAAAATTGCTTCATCAATTAAACAACCAGCCCCAAAACATCCACACAGCTAAACCCGCCTCCCCCAATGCAAACAAAACCCACTGAGTAACGGTACACCCGATGCCAGAGAGAAAGTGTGTTTATTATAAGACTCTCCATTAATAAAAGGTACATTGGCATGAGAGCAGCCGCTAACATTAGCTCTTCCTTCTTTGTCACGACTCATAACAAGCCAGAGTTTACAGCCACAAGGACACACACACACATATATATGTTATATTTATAGAGAGAGGTTAGTTGGTATAATGTTACACATTTCTGGGATGTTTTCACTCGGTTCTAACATCTGTGTTGTGTTTGTTTGACAGCAGGCCAGACGATGCCTGCCGCATCTTCGTGCAGAAAATGAAAACCGTGAATCTAGTGCGCAGTGCATTCCCATTGAGACAACATACAGACGAGAGATTAAAAACCCCACAAATAAACCCCCAGTTAGACCTTTTATTATCTTAACCGTAGTCTCAACTTAAAAGGCGTTTAAGGGCCCGTATTTTAACTATCGATCCGATGAGGCAGCATCACTCGACACAACAGGAGCATCTCTGGCGTTACTTACCTCGGCTGGATGAGGGAGGAGGAGGAGGTGAGGGGGGGGGGGTAAATAAAACTCCTCGCTGCTTAAAAAAGCGACAGGCCTTATTTATTTTCGTAGCATTGTTTTAATTGTTGTTGCTGCTGTTGTTGTTGTTGTTGTGCTCCTCTATAACCATGGCTGTCCGGTGGGTATGACGCCCTCTTCTAGCCACACTAGCTCGAAGCAGCGACGCCAGCTCCGATTTCCACTTCCTAGGAGAATCTGGAATTTGCATACCGGCGTCCTCATTGGTTGACATGGCCGGTGACGTGGCGGCTGAGTTGCAGGCCACGCCTCTGATTTGTGACGCGTTGCAAAGTGTCCTTTTTTTTTTTTTTAATACTTTTGTTTTATTTATTTATTTTGTCGTTATAATGTTTGTTTTTGTCATGGTGTATGGTTTTATTACACTTTATGCATTGACCCGTTTTGGGACAGTGTTTTAGAGAAAAATTGTTGCAGTAAATGAATGCAAGTCGCACGCATTTTTAATTAAAACATGTTGCAACCAATCACTTAATTCATTATTAGTATTTTTGCAGCATTTTCTCTGTGTGGATTGGTTAGTATTTGAGTGTGTTAAACATACACCCAACGAGATCCTTCCTGAACGTGACAGGAACGTGAGCTGAAGCCTGTTACATAACATCTCAATTATACATACTGGAATATACCAGCAGATAATGTCACAATTTAACTGGCTACCAGATACTTTTATTATGATTATTATGTTTTCCTTATTAGAAAACACCACTTAGGTCGAATTTTCACTTCCTCATTCAACTTCAGGGCATATAGCCTATACATGGAAAGTGTACAACAAACCCGAGAAGCTACAGCCCCAGATGCAATAACAGTATTATATCCACCTGATGGCGACAGAGTTTAACTGATTCTTGTATGAAACTCTCAACTAGTAATGTAAAATAACATATAACGTATAACAGTCAAATAAAGTTTAATTATGCCGAGGTTCCCTGTGAAAACAGAGCAATATAGACGCCATGGTTGTTAATATGTTTTTTTAAGAGAGTGTGGGGTACCCATATATACTCATAATAATAAGCTTTATTCCTAAACAAAGTTACAAAGTGCTTTGCATGGCTGAACCAGGATTAAAACAGTCTAGGACCTCAATGTGGCAAATTACGACTATTAAAATAATAAAATAAAAACAACAAAATAATGAACAAAGAGATAAGAAGTGTTTAAAACAAATAAATTAAAATCAGAAGTGATTTTAATGACATTGCTGATTCTGTCAGCCTCAGATGCTCAGTCATAGTAGGTTTATCCAAATATACAGTAGCCTATATAAATGTTTGATTTTTGTAATACTTCTTCAAATGCCCATTGACCAAAGGAAATAGTGGCCACAGAACTGGAGCTGGTTGGTCTGCCTGCTGTGTTCTTAAATACTTGGCAAAGAGGGTCAGATGCAGAGTTTTCCCACGGGGATTAATCCAAAGTACAAATTTGTCACTCCAATTTTCACGCTTCTCCTCCACATTTGCTGTTGGGAGTGGGACATCCTGTTCCTCCAGACCTCAGCCATAAATCCTGTAAGTGAAACATGACTTTTTATTTTCTTGAATGCATTTAAATGTCCTTTCTTTGTCACATCCTCACCTGGAACTGCTGCGCACAACAGCCCGTCAATAATAATCCGGGGGGACATATTAAAAACCCCGCCTACACTGTCAATCTGGGGGGGTAGTGGTGCCTTCAAACGCTCATCATAAAACAGGTTATTTAATAACACAGATACCGTAAACTAATAAGACTGCAACTACTTTATTTTGGATCACCAGGTGTTTATATATGTTAAAGAAGAGCTAGAATTAAGTGCATGAGTCCTGTAGCTAGTGATCAATTATGTTAATACATAGTAGCCTAACCTGAGCCTGACTGTCAAGTAAAAATACAAATACAAAAAAATAGTTAGTTTGCAGCTTAATAAGAATGACCCAAAATGTCAGATGAACCAAAGAGCAAAAAATATAGAATTGCACAAAAGTCAAACAACAAACTCTTAATGTTTCTGGTGTGTTTACTGACATGGCTCCCAGCTCTCCGCCCCTACAGCGTCACACGTCGTTAACTCGGGTATTATCGAGAAACCCCGACTCCCCCTCATTCATCACTCCGTCGCTCCTTTTAAACTCCACTCAGAGTTCCGATATTTCCGACAGCACTTTAAGGCAGCACCGGTTAGAAGTTCATCGCGTCGCTCCGACACAAACAACCCTGCTCAGCAAACAAAGTGAGGGTAAACAAATATGAAACGTCCCGGAAATGTATTAACAGCGGTTTCAACAACGTTTGCTCTTCTGCTTTGCCTGTATTCAGTCAGAGGTAAGTCCTTTCCTAAACCATCAACACGTAGCCGATGAAATCTGATCAATCGCATTCATTCAGAACTCCTGATCAGCTGTCTGTTTATGTTTGTGTGTAAGGACTAACTCTCACTGGTCCCTGCTTCTGACACCAGACTTCATTCACTTTTTCCATATAAAGCAGAAAGGGGGACTTTGGCATTGAACTCTGCCACCTAGTCTGATTTTCCTTTTTCCTTTTACTGACTCATGAAGATCCAGTTTTTTTGTTTTTTCCTACTGTGGGTGTCTCTTGGTTAATGGGAAGGGTGAGGGCAAAAGGAGACATGTGCAACAGATTGGTCTTTCAAATCAAAATGCGTATCTTTCCCCCAGTCAGCTTAATGCCAAATGTCATTAGTTCTTCCAGCTGTTTTACCATATTAATTACAATATTCTCATTTGTCTTTATCATTTCCAATCACAAGATTACCATCAACATTCAGGGTTCAACCATTCATTTATTCAGCTTTATCCTGAAAACAGTCAATATATAATTTGTAAGTCCTTCATCTCAGGATGCCAGCTTGTTATTGTCATGGTAGAATTAGTGATTAAATGTGAGACTCTGTTATTATATATGGCACTCTGTTATTACACAGATTTGCTGTATGTTTTTTTTATTTTTCTTGCATGCACCACCAACAGTGCATAAATGTTATACTGTTGCACCTCCGGGGGTTTTTTCCTATAAACAATAGATGTGTACACATGTTTTCTGTGCCTAAATTTTAATGTATTATCGTCCCCATGGACACCTTCACGGTCACACAAAAGAGGTTGTGCAGATGGAGTGGAAAATAACACCATATGTGCTCTTGTCTGGCACCAGCATCAACCAGATGTCCACTCACCTACCTTTAGTACAACCTGGAAATGTACTGCCAACCAGGAGCACTTAAAAGTCCAAATTGGATTGAAGTGTTTTGATTGCCTTTACTGTATGTGGCTGTCGTTCTTCTGCTGCCATGATGTTTGTGTACATTCAGGAGCCTGCTGCTTTGCTCATTACCTTGCATATACACCTGTCAGTCAGGTGTGCCGCGTGTCCTGAGCCACTTGTGAGCTGCTGCACTGTCATGTTGTGTAACTGCTCGTTCCTGAAAGAGCTGCATCTGTGCAACCTGGCTAATCCCGCAAGCTCTTAATCCTGCACAGAGACACGTTCTGTTGTCGGCGATGTCTGCTTAATGTGTTATTTAAAATTTTAGACCAAGTATTATTTTCATACAAAAGCTCTCCGGCTTGTCTTGTGCTCATAAAGACGCAATTGCTTAAATATTGAGCTGAAAAAGTACTTTAAATACTAATTAATACTTTTCCAACATTCACTCGCAGCACACATTTTCAGGATTTTGTTTACATATTAAACTTCATTAAACATGCAACTTTATTATAACTCACATCCCCCCCCCCCCCTTTTTTATGAATCACATCCATCTGATCAATTACTTTGTCAAAAGGGTTATGCTCAGATTTGCTCTCATGCTTAAACATGTCACATCAGTTGCAAAGCCAGTCTGCCCAGTTCTCAGAGGTTTGATAACTGTCAGACGTGTTGTAGTTTGAAACAGTTTGAGTTGGTCAGTTATCATGTTATCATGGTCACTATCACATATTTATGCCTCATTATTCTGGTGACACATGTTCCAAAAAAAAAGGTCTGCAGGTTTTTTCCTCACAGATGCCAAAGAAAGTCACAACAAAAGTCCACTAGTTCACCCTGGAGCTGCTTTGGAGCTTGAGTGGTGACTCTGACGTGGCACCTGATGAGTCAGTGGGCTGGTTAAAAACAAACACAGATTATGATTTAAGGTTTTGTCAGTTTGTCAACTGTAGTGTGACTCATAAATCTGTGCCCCGCCGCTCCCACTGGAGGTCTCTGCCATTTTTTCCCTGATCCAGCGAGAATCTGTGACTCAGCAACTTTGGGCCTCACAGCTGAAACTGCAGCACCACTGTGGAAAGAGGACCCCTCTTTCCCCCCGGATACCTGTTAAAAAAGCTGTGTATTGGTTGAGCACTAAAAAGAGATTCCACAAATGCCACAACTGTATCCAGAACTCAGCATGTTATTTTGCTATTATTCATGAAAAATAAAGCCTTGGATGCTTATGGGCTGTTATAACTTTGATATTAAAGGGGCGCTCAACCAATTTTATACATGACACTGGACAAAAAGGAGCTGTATCTGGAAAGAGAGTGGTATACAAGATCTGTATCTGCGTCTGTATATCATATCAGTTCATTATAATCATTATCTGTCAAATATCCTGTCTTCTGCATACTGCCTGTATCTTTGACAAGTACGAATCCTTCCTTTTTCTTGTCACTGAGTGTTATTCAGCCTGTGAGAACCCTGGTAATGTCATCAGAGTTATTTTGGCTTCAACTTGAAGACAACGATTTAGCTGCTGGTCATGGAGTTTTAAAGACATGGCCATTTACCAGGGAGGGATTGTCTCAACAAAATCCGCTATTGAACTGAATTATGGGGAATTTAGGATCTGGTGTTTTAGATACTTGACCCACATTATACTTGACTTGAAACCCAAAACGTTATGGAAGTGCAATACTTAATTGCAGGAGGTCACCTTTTAAAATGTTTTTCAGGAATGATTTTGTGATTAATTGTTGTCACTTGCTCTACTCTCCAGTCTTAATTTCCTTCTACGTAACACACTGAATTCATGAATTTCCCAGAGTGCGTGGGAGCTTGTTCTGTTCAGCCGTGGCTTAAACTTGTAGGTTGAGTGAGCAACAGCGATAGCATAACAAGATCAGGAGGCCATTCAAGAAACAGCAGGGGACTCAAAACAACATGTGTTGTAGCTGCACTGCAGTGTAGTTCATTGTCGCTACTGGCAGTGAGGAAATCAGTATCTCTGGTATCCATGGTAACAAGTGAAATATACCACCATTGTACGACGAAATGGGTGTGTCAATGAATTGGCAGTAGCTCTTTTTTTTAATATGTTAAGGTGCTGTAGGATGAATTTTTTTATTTTTATTTATTTTTTTATAATGAAAAGAACCTACATACATCTTTGATTTCATCATCACGATGATTCCAAGAGGCTGTAACAGGCATAAACATTTGTTTCACCCTGTTTTGTAACCACACTTGCAGATAAGATTCATCATCGCACTTTACTTTATCTGTTTATTTACTCCAGCACTCAGGACAATGCGTAACATTGTTTGGTAAGAGGGGTATAGAGTCACTGTCTCCTCTGTTCTAATTCAAGCCTCTCTTGTACTTGTGTACTCGTCCATCTATAGATGCTGAATAAACTTACAGACAAGAGTTTACTTTGTTTGCTTTATGTAACAGAAATTCTCCCTGTTTTTCTCATTTCCTCAGGCGACTACTGTGAGGTGAATCTTTGCCATAATGGAGGAACATGTGTGACAGGGGTAGGAGACGATCCGTTCATCTGCATCTGTACGGATGGCTTCGGAGGAGACACCTGCAACCTGACAGAGATAGGTACAGAAAAGATTAACCTTTTTAGAGGAGAAGTGCAATTAAAATCATACACTCAAACTAATCCTTCTTCCTTCTCTCAGGACCCTGCAGTCCTAACCCCTGTAAGAACGATGGGTCTTGCGAGATCATTGCTCCAACCAGGCGAGGAGACGTTTTCAACGAGTACATCTGCAAGTGCCAGCCTGGCTTCGAGGGAGCTCACTGCCAGATCAGTAGGTTACATCTGGATGTGATTCATGAGTCTTAGCTGCTTCTCTTGCTCTGTGCACATGAACAGTTACACATTTACAGTCACCATATATATATATGTCTTTAAATTTTACTCTCAGTTGAGTGCACATCTTTATACTGAGTTGTCAGTTTCTGAGGCGATTTATTGCTATTTATTTAAGGAATTTGGAAGTAAGTATGTCAAATTTTGTCCAAAAAGTCGGTTGGCAACAAATAGCCATAGTCTCCAGTTTCAGCAGATTTCTCTATTGGTGTGAACACATGAGGTTTTTCCATCCTGTCATAGCATCAGCAGTGAAAGAGACGTGTAGTCAGCTCTGCAGTTTCATGAAAGGATCTTATTCAACCGGTTCTGTGGTCATTCTGTTGGCTAATTAGCAAAAAGACCACTCCAAGTCTCTTAGCATGCAAACCCCTTCCACACACTGCATCTGTTTGTGCTTAAGCTTGACCAAATCAGACCAAGAATTTGATAATAGTGAATTCCATAATATCCTCTTATTATAATGACCAAGTTGGCTTGGAATTATGTTTATTAAGTTTGGGTTTATTAGTGGGAGAAAAGGAAGGAAATAGAGGATTATACATGTGTGAATTAGGGCTGCACGATATGGTGAAAATATAATATTGTTCATGGCTGATAATGTGATTTCAGTATGATTCTGATGACCAAAATGTGGAAATTAAACAACTATAAGCTTTGTGTATAGGACTGCTGGGAGCAGATTTATTATATAATTGTAGTTTGAAAATATAACTTCAACTCTCAGCACTTTGACTCATGTCTGTGTGTAAGAGGCATTTTTTGTGAATGAACAACTCACCTCAAAGCCCACATTCTGACCACCAATTGTAGTGTTTGTGCAGTCTGGTCGTCTACTCCCAAACTTTTTCTAATTTTGATTCAGCCATACGTCATAGGCTGGACTGGTGTCGAGGTGCCGGAATGAGGTGGAACCTGTCTCATATATTATGTTCAGTTCAGGCACAGACATAAATTCATAGTAACACTAATTATATGATCGTAGTTAAATATTTATTCACTTCACTTTACAATAGCTGCAGTTCATCTGCAAGTAACACTAGAAACAATGGGCAAGAACTTTATAATTGCTCTTTTAAATTCTGGATACCAAATTTCTTCCTTTAATTCAGCCTTGGACTTGAATGCCAAAACATGTGATAAAGAATCCGAGAGCAAATCAGCAAGGTTATTTCACGGTCCTCCTCTTGGTAGGATCACCTGTTTCTCCGTGTTGTGAGCTGTGTTGTGCCTGTGTTGTCACAGACATACAGGCATTTGTTTCTAAGTTGTGAGCAATCCTCTTAGTGTTAACGGGAACAAGAATTAAATAGACCCATGTGGGATTACGTCAACCTGTCGTCTGCTTTAGTGCTGGAAGAGTCTCTTAGGGGTTAGTAAGACAGGTTAAATAAGGCTGGGCAAAAAATACATTGAGCATTTTTCAGTGGAATCTTATTTTGTAGGGACACTAAGATTACTGAGCACTTCAGCTGTGGGTTTAAAGTGGATCGACAGGGAGTGGAGCTGACCTCAGATCTGCAGTGAGAGTCTCAATGCATACTGTAGGTTAGAATGAGGGAAACATCATAAACATACATTAAAGTCCAGTCAAAACCAACAATTCCCGGACAGAACTACTGTTTTGACCAGATCATAATGTGTATATGCAAATACTATCATTACCAAGGGATCATAATACAAGTCCGGCTGGTTACATAGTGTCCCTCAAGGATTTAAGAACCCCAGCTGTATGTAGAAATAAATATTGACAGTGAGAGCTGTTATGTTGTTTTGTTGGTATATTGTTTGATCTAACACATTGTGTTTGAATTATCATTACTCTTTTGGTTTAGCGTTCATGTGAAAATATTTATGTCTTGTCAAAAAGACTCAAATGTGCTGCTGTGCATTACCCCACTGCTCAACATATACCGTCTATACATAGGCATAGCATGCCACCTTGTGGAGATTAAGGAGCATTACATGGACAGCATTAATTCGAGATGCAGGAAGTGGCTACAGACTTGCTTTGTTCCCATGGTTACTGTGGAGGAAAGCAAGGTTTTTTGAGTGTAACAGGCTCTTTAGTAGAGGAAGAAAACGCTGTTAAACCTCACATATAACGACTAATTTCACTGTCATCTGAAATGCAAAATGTTTTCTAAAGGACCCTGTTTGTTTGTACATTTGTCCTTTGTGGATATCAGAGCTTAATTCTGATTATCCAGTTGGCACAATACACAGTTAGTTTGTGGGATAACTGATGGTGACACAACATGGATAAAGCCTTCTTTAAATCTCCTGTGTCTGTTCACATTCATAGTCATGGCACAAAATACAATTATCAACCATTGGCCTTTCACCCCTTAACCCGCTGTGTCCTTTAGACTGTGTGTCCCGTCTCCTCAATGTTGCCCTCCGGGGTATTTCTGTCATCATGTTAGATTTAAGAGAAACTACTTATCATCACCTGTATGTTGGAGACACAGTGAGGCTATTGTGGTCCTCCACCTGTCTCAACCCGCCTCTGTTCTCTGAGCCGTTTATGGGCAGGTGTGCACCACATCTCTAACAATCATCCTTTTTGTGATTGTTGTGTTTCATAGACTATTTCACTAAATCCTGACCAAAGTTAGTTTGAGGAGTTGAAAATAATACAGTAGGTTGTTGTGTTTTTCAGATGTGAATGACTGTGCCAATCAGCCCTGCAACAATGGAGGGACATGTCGAGATCTGGATGGAGACTACACCTGCCAATGTCCCTCACCGTATGTTGGAAAGCAGTGCCAGCTCCGTACGTTAATTAATGTCATATCATTTCACAGACTTTTCTCAGATATGTAGTGTATAGCCTTGTGCTTTTCCTCAAAAATCCTTTTCTTAAGGAGTTTGTACAAAATCAAAGATGGTGTTTCTGGAATTAGCCAAATTACAAAATATTATATGTCTATTAAGTGTATATTGTAAAGTATTTTACCAGTGGTTTACTTACTTTGTAAGTTAAAGTTTAAAACGTGGAACATTTTAAAGGTTTTTTATCACCAGAATTAAACATTTGCACTGTAATTGACGCGATTTAAACTGTGGAGAGTTCAAAATACATTTGACAACTCAAAAATAAATACAGGAGTAAATGTAATTACTTTCTTCCACTCTTGATAATATTTTATCTGCTGTGTCCCAGGTTGCATTTCCCTGCTGGGGATGGAGGGGGGAGCAATCGTGGAGTCCCAGATTTCATCTTCCTCTGTGCACTATGGCATTCTGGGTCTTCAGCGTTGGGGCCCCGAGTTGGCCCGACTCAACAACCAAGGCATCGTAAATGCCTGGACGTCAGCCTCCCATGACAGGAACCCCTGGATAGAGGTGAGACAAGGAGACGCTTTTAAAATCATGATGCTGACCCAGTGAGAGCTGCGACTGACACTTGACCTCCAACAGATTAATATGCAGAAGAAGATGCGTCTGACGGGCATCATCACGCAGGGTGCCAGTCGCATGGGCACAGCTGAGTATATCAAGGCCTTCAAGGTGGCGAGCAGCTTTGATGGCAACGCTTACACTACTTACAGAGCAGATGGCCAACGGAGGGACAAGGTTAGAGTTTAATTTTTACATCATTTTAAACAGTATATTCCACAGCAAGCATCTCTTTCTTCATCTTACGCTTATTTGCTGTGTCCGTGTGCTGCAGGTTTTCGTAGGCAACACAGACAACGACAGCACAAAGACCAACTTTTTTGACCCTCCTATCGTGGCACAGTACATCCGCATAATCCCTGTGATTTGCCGCAAAGCCTGCACACTGCGCATGGAGCTGGTGGGCTGTGAACTCAATGGTAAACACACAAAAAAACATCCTATTTTAACACACAAAGCAAGTTCAGAAAGTTGGCAGATAATATAGTGGATTAAAACAAACCACATTCTGAACTATGTTGGAAAGATTACCTACAATAAGTTCAAGTCAAGTCATAGCCTCTGTGAACTTTGTATGCATAATATCCCCTGAAGCTGGAAAAAGTACCGTTTTTTTGTTCTTTTGTTGAACTTGTTTTACTGTGTTGGTTTCTTCTTGCTGTGGTTTCACTGACACAACATAATGATAGTTTATTTCAACTATATAACATGGCGTCCATCTCGCCGTGGTTCAATAGGAAATGTATAGTATGAACAGTATTCTGTCGGTAGACCTCACTATCCAACAATAAAAACAACAATTCCAGGAACACACGTTTGGGTTTTTTCCCCACTCTAATCCTTTTGTTTCTTGTCTTCTTGAACATAACAGCTAAAACATTTATAGAGAAATGTGTTGAATGTACACACATTGCTTATGTAGCTCTATGCACTTTATTGCTTGCATTCTTCTACTCTGTGCCTCTTTCTGTTTCTTCCACTTGTTATTGTTGGCTGTAAAATTATTTTAATCAGACAAATTCTTCTGAATATTACACATTTTTCTTCAAATGGATGAAGGGTGAAGTTAATTTGTCTTTTCTTTGGGTGTACTCATTTATTTCCTCTCTTTCTCTTTCTGTCGCTTTGGTTTGCCCTCCCTCCGTCTTTCCGTCTGCTTTGGATTCACAGTTTATTCAAACACGGCAGGTTGCTCAGAGCCTCTGGGAATGAAGTCTCGCCTCATCTCAGACGGACAGCTTACAGCCTCTAGCACTTACCGCACGTGGGGCATCGACACCTTCACGTGGCACCCTCAGTTTGCCCGACTGGATAAGCAGGGAAAGACCAACGCCTGGTCTCCTGCCCACAACAACCGCTCAGAGTGGTTCCAGGTGGGGAAAAGCTCAGCGGCAAAATGTCATTAATGGTAAAAATGCTCCTTGAGGCCAGCAGAGTATAACTGTTTTCTTTGTTCACCAGGTCGATCTGGAGAAGACAAAGCGCCTCACAGGCATCATCACTCAGGGGGCCAAGGACTTTGGGGTGGTGCAGTATGTGTCAGTGTTTAAAGTTGCTTACAGTAACGATGGACAGTCATGGAGTGTGGTGAAGGAGGAGAACACCGGCAAAGATAAGGTCAGACATATGTGAATCCCCAAAATGTATTTCCCTAATACAGTATATTTTATTCTCATTTCAATATGGAGTTTCTTAGAAGTCTTAGAATTTAAAACCTCTAAAGGCACACATTTTGTCAGCTCTCCTTTCTGTTTTCCTCTTTTCCTTTATGATGAGATATATGAGATATATTTTTGGTTCTTGCTGAAGGAGTGGAAGGCCCAGTTCTCCTCGTCATAGCCTCTTTCTCTGAGAGGATCCAATAAAACTGTAAATTAAGCTTTGATGTTTTTACTGAGCACATAGCTCGTAGGCTCATGACACAGCGACGCTGCCCGGGGCTGTTGTTTGAATGCTCTGAACGTCCGGGTGGGGCTGTCAGGAAGGCAGCACAGCTCAGTTTGGGTAACATCCCTTGATGAGAAGTGGTCAGTAAGACATTTGGTGGATGTATTCACCAACAGTGTCCATTACAACATCAAGAAATTGTTGAGCTTGGTCGGGCTCAGTGGAAAATAGAGTTATGTTTAATATGCCCTCCTCCCTCATTCTTAGACGATTTGCTTTATATACAATAACTTTGCTTATTATTTCACTTTAACCGTAACCTCAACATTTATTTGCAGCTTTTCCAAGGCAACATTGACAACAACACCCATAAGAAGAATGTATTTGAGCCTCCGTTCTATGCCCGATATGTCCGGGTCGTCCCCTGGGAGTGGCACGAGCGCATCACTCTACGCATGGAGCTGCTGGGCTGCGATGACTAGAAACTCATCAGTCACCATCTAACAGTGCTCCATCCTCATCCAGTCACTCCATCTCCTCAAACCACAGCAGAGGAGAGGATCTTGAACAGAGTCATCTGTTCTGTACTCCATTTGTTTCTCTGGATAAAGATCCCGTTGGCTGCTGGGACTGTAACACTCATAGCACTTTCTGACTAGAGACTTTTTCATGTTCATGTTAATAGAATTGTTTGACTTTGCTCACACAGAATCTTCTATGAAGTATCCATGTTTTTAATTTTAATAGCTTCAGATATAAACAACATTTGCATAGATTAGCTGCTCAGGTTTTCAGGTTCTCTTAAGTCTGGAGATTTGTTATAGCGCTCTTCGCTTCTTCCAGTTGTGCTCCAAGCTAAATAGCCTGTTTTAAACCGTTTTCTGTTCTTCCTTTGCAGTCACACACCAGTTAACTTTTAACTGTTGATTTTTTTGTAGTTGTAAGTCTGTAGAGGACACCTCTGCACATCACCCAACTGCTGTTTTGTTACTCAAAGCACAAAATAGTATGATAACACAGTAAATAGAGTATATTGTGGCATTTCCAGCTATCCTGAAAGAGATAATGTGTCCAAGAGTATAAATGTAAAACTTAAAATGATGGAATTACAAACTTTTGTTGTCATTTTTTTTTACACATTTTAGCAGGTTTTTCCGCTTCATCCTTACATATAATTTCATTTTAATTTAATCCTTTTTACAACAAATGTGAAATATTTAGGAAAATGTGTAGAAAATAAACATTGTTTTACATTTTTTTGTATTCATTGTTGGTCTTTTAATTAAGATCATTTATTAAATGTTAAAACAAATCTTTGTGTTTGTTTCTTTTCAATGAAGACACATGAAACATGTCTTTCTCATGTTTTAGCTGTTATAAATCAGTCACCAGTGTTTCCCACTGCTGGCAATAGAGTCCCATCTGTTCGGACAATGTCCCTGTCAGAGTGGGTGTTGGTGGCTGATTTCTGCATGAACAGACTGGTCAGCGAGGCCGCATACAGGGGACACAAAGGGAGCACTTAAAAAAAAAGCTTCCACTCTCCATTTTCGGGGGCATCTCTGCATTGTTCAGACACTGCTATAGCTAATACCAAAAGAAATCTCCTTTTGTAACACATTGTTGCACAAAGCTGAGAAAAGGAGATACAGTAGGAGTGTATTTGACATGAAGCTCTCAGATAAAAAAATTAAATTCAAGCATTGTGAAGAAGAACCTGCTGCACAAAATGTCCCAACCACACAAAGATGTTGAGTCTTCTGCACGCTGGACTACTGGTCTGCTGTTAACAAGAGTAATTACACCCTGTTAGCCTCCTCTCCCTGCGAAGCTCACAGTCTTGGTATGTTTGGCCCCTGGCAACAGCTTTCATCTCTATGAAATGAATGTGGTGGAGGACGGAGCATCTCTAACACATCTGTCCTCGCCGTCTACGTCTATGCCTACTGTATATGGATGTTTTCCACAACAGCAGGGTTTGCTATAAAAGATCACAGTGCTCCCGGGAAAAATACAGCTGCCAGCTGGAGTCGATGTGGGGACCCTCTGCAACAAACATCTGCTTTCAGAGAGTTTAGGAGGGATGCAAAGCAGTTTTCTCAACAAACCGCTGCACAACATGAGCCTATTTGTTATGATTGGTCCTACTGTGATAGAAAATAGTGATTCTGTAGCTTGTGTTTGTGGGAACAGGACCAAAACAACTGCCCTGTGCTTTAAGACAATAATTCACATAAATAAAGGCTGTGTCAGTTTATGTTTTTAAAAGAGATTTTAGATTTAGCAGTCTAAACTGTATGAGAAAAAAAAAGATCAGTGGTTTGGTAAAGTAGAATAAATCACATGGTGGTGAGTTTGAGATTCAAATGAATAATGAGTAAAATATTTTCAGACAACATCCACAATAGACTGTTAAAGATGAAACAAAAACAATCATTGATTTCATTCTTAATTTGCACGTCTGTTTGAGCTATAAATGTACAATATTGGTGAATGAAATTAGGGAACTTCTCCACACCTGGCACCCCTGTCCTCCCTCCACTCACTGGTTGCAGAATCACACAAAGGTGAGTCTCCAGCCTGAGTTGGTCCAGTTGCAGCAGCAGAGGAGCATTATAGACCTGCTTCTCTTCAACGAAAAGTTAGAATACAGTTATTATTATTA